CATACCTTCTGGCATTCTATCTGAAATTCTATCTGGCATAGCTTCTGGCATTCTATCTGGCATATCTTCTGGCAACTTATCTGGCATATCTTTTGGCATTCTATCTGGCATATCTTCTGGCATTCTACCTGGCATATCTTCTGGCATATCTTCTGGCACTCTATCTGGCATATCTTCTGGCATATCTTCTGACAATCTATCTGGTATTGTATCTGGCAAATCTTCTGGCGTTCTATCTGGCAAACATTTTGGCACTTTATCTGGCACTCTATCTGACATTCTATCTGGCATACCTTCTGGCATTCTATCTGGCATATCTTCTGGCATCTTATCTGGCATATCTTCTGGCATTTTATCTGGCATATCTTCTGGCATTCTATCTAGCTGGCCGTTGAGGTCCAGCAGTGCCCACTGAGGAAGGTCCCAGGTTGAGGTCCAGTGGTGCGCACTGAGCTCTGAAGGTCCCAGGTGCCCACTGGGCTCGGGATGTCCCTGGTTGAGGTCCAGCGGTGCCCACTGCGCTCAGAACCTTGCGGTTGAGGTCCAGCCGTGCCCACTCAGATCAGAGGCCGGCAGTTGAGGTGCAGCAGTGCACACTGCGCGCGGAAGTTGGCGAAGAGTTGGCAAGGCGAAAGTGGACATGGAAGTAGATGCAGAGGTGGAGCACGAGGAGGAGGAGGCAGAGGAGGAGGAGAAGAAGGAGGAGGAAAACAACTGTGATAAAATCTAACAACCCTCACCTGGAAGGTGGGGAAAAAAGCCATCAAAATCCAAGCTCAGCTATGAAGCAGCATTCACAAAAAATCAGTCATTTACATACCTTCGTTAAGTGATAAATCACCTGCATCACACTCACTCTCGCTTGCCTGGTTCAATCTTCAAATTAGTAATTTGAAGGCTGGATCGTGGAAGCAGGTGCCAGCCCCTAGCAATGATGGCAGGCATGGAAGAGGAAGATGAAAAGATGGACACAGAGACAAATTTGGCGCAAAGACGAAGCAGTATTATGGTAGAAGCTACTGCCGATGAAGCGCTCCGACAGCAGCCGTTGGGCATGCATTCATAAAATGTCCAGCTGGCTTTGCTCCATGTCACTGACCCCTCTAAAACTATCATGAAGGCCTTGTCCGATATCTTCAAGATTTCAAGCCTATACAGGGTAATGCTGTCTGGCCAAACGGACCCCGAAAGACCAGGTTAGGCCAATTCCAGCCGAATATATAGTTTATACCGTACCTGATTCCGAAACTGGCGACACAGACAAATTTGGTCAGGTAACGGCTCTTTATTATACAATTGCTCTTTGGTTGTTAAAAAAATGTTCGGGTAATTCGAGACGTTAGCTGTGAAAGTTTGCATGCAAACTTGCGAGGAGGGGTTGAAAGTTTGTGTGCAGGCTTTCGGGGGGGGCTGCAAGTTTGCGCGCAAACTTGCGAGCAGGCCTGAAGATTTGCTTGAAAATTTGCGCGTTTGCAGAGCACAGTCGCGGGTTGAAAGTTTACTTGCGAATTTGCCAGGTGGGTTGGAAGTATGCAAGCAAACTTGCGAGGAGGGTCGAAAATTTGCATGGAAACTTAGAGTTCAAGTTACTCGGCATTTAGGTTCAAGTACGGCTGGTAGCAGAAATAGTTTTCGTACGCAAAAACCAAATTCACTTAGAAACGAGAAAGATAAGACCACCAAAAACTCTCCGCAGCGACAAAAACCTTGTTAAGTGACTCTCTGCCTTTTTCAGGGTAATTTTTCAGCTAATTCGACAGATTGGCAATGAAAGTTTGCATGCAAACTTCCGAAGGTGGGTTGCAAGGTTGCATGTTAACTTGCGAGGGGGGAGTGGAAGTAGCAGGTGTGAAAGTTTGCATGCAAACTTATGAGGGGCGGTTGAAAGTTTGAGTGCAAATTTCTGGGGAGGGGTTGCAAGCTCGCGTGCAAACCTGGGATCAGGCCTGAAAGTTAACTTCCGCAGCTTTTGCACAGCACAGTTGGGGGGTTAAAGTTCTGGCCCAAATTTGCCAGGTGGGTTGAAAATGTTCATGCAGATGCATGCCCAGGGGGGTTGAAAGCTTGCATGCAAATTTAAAAAGGAGATTGAAAGTTGTCATGCAATTTTGGAGTTCAACCTATATAAAATTCAAAGAAGCAAAGGTTTGATCAGGCGCGGTAATTGTACAGGTAGCAAAATTAATTATTTTAGGCAAAACAAAAAATCACTAATTGCCACAAGTGGAGAAGGTAAGGAATGAGCGTTTAGGCAGGAAATTGCTGATCCTGGGCTATTGAGTTAATAGCGGTCATCAGCTTGAATTTGGGGAAACATTGCCTTACCAGCAAAAACGCAAGTATAACAGAGGAAAAAAAAACTAAAAACTAAAAAAAACTAAAAATGAAAAAAAAATGCCTTCAGCGTCTTTTTATGGACGTTCAAGGCTGCCGTTTGCCAGCCCGCAAAACTTCCAAACCCTCCCCTGCAGCTCCCAGGCGCCACTCAGGCCGCGGCAGACCTTTCCTGCAGCTCCAACAAGTCCCTGAGGCCCTGGCAGTGTCCTTTTAAGGACGTTCAAGGCTGCCGTTTGCCAGCCCGCAAAACTCCCAGGCGCCACTCAGGCCGCGGCAGACCTTTCCTGCAGCTCCAACAAGTCCCTGAGGCCCTGGCAGTGTCCTTTTAAGGACGTTCAAGGCTGCCGTTTGCAGCCCGCAAAACTCGCCAAACCCTCCCCTGCAGCTCCCAGGCGCCACTCAGGCCGCGGCAGACTATTCCTGCAGCTCTAACAAGTCCCTGAGGCCGTGGCAGCGTCTTTTTATGGACGTTCAAGGCTGCCGTTTGCCAGCCCTCAAAACTCCCCAAACCCTCCCCTTGCAGCTCCCAGGCGCCACTCAGGCCGCGGCAGACCTTTCCTGCAGCTCCAACAAGTCCCTGAGGCCGTGGCAGCGTCTTTTTATGGACGTTCAAGGCTGCCGTTTGCCAGCCCTCAAAACTCCCCAAACCCTTCCCTGCAGCTCCCAGGCGCCACTCAGGCCGCGGCAGACCTTTCCTGCAGCTCCAACAAGTCCCTGAGGCCGTGGCAGTGTCCTTTTAAGGAGGTTCAAGGCTGCCGTTTGCCAGCCTTCAAAACTCCTCAAACCCTCCCCTGCAGCTCCCAGGCGCCACTCAGGCCGCGGCAGACCTTTCCTGCAGCTCCAACAAGTTCCTGAGGCCGTGGCAGTGTCCTTTTACGGAGGTCCCAGGCTGCCGTTTGCCAGCCTTCAAAACTCGCCAAAACTCGACAAACCCTCCCCTGCAGCTCCCAGGCGCCGCTTAGGCCGCGGCAGACCTTTCCTGGAAAATGGAGACCGCCTGTTTTTAAAGTTTTTTGTGCGATTTGCTTCTTTGTTGCTTTGAAAACCTTCCAAGAGCACCAAAAGCAATCTCTTACACAAAAAAAACAAAGCGGAATTCAAAGGAATGGCATGATTTTATGCCACGAAAAAACTGCAAGCAGAATACATGCACACACGCGCATATATATATATATATAACTTAATGACGCTTCATGTTTATAGCTACATCCTTTTCTCTGATTTTCTACGTTGATTTGTGTAATATATATAATAAATAGTTTTTGTATATATATATATAAAATAAATAGTATATGTAAATATATAATTTCTATAATTAAGCGTAAATTGACAGCCACAATTTTGAAAACTACATTTGCAATGCTTTCAAGAAAGCAAGCTCAAACCCAAATCCTTGAACTGGCAAATCGGCTATCGGCTGTGTAAGCGCCTCATGATCGCAGCCTTGCCTCAAGCCTGGCATCGTTTTGGTGGCTTGCCCCAACAATGCTTTCCTTTTTGGGAGAATGCTGTGACAGAGGGTGCTGGGGCTTTCTGGTGAAGACCAGCCGCCCGCAGGTGCCGCCAACGCACTTATGGGTTGCGCGAGATGGGATCTCGTACCAGTCTTCGCCCAGTTGCACCTACTAATGCGTAACCCTGCCGACGAAATTTGGCACAGGAGAAGGCAAGACAAAAATCTGGCTTGAGAGTGGCTGCTTTTGTTTCCGTCATTCAATGCGTTGTCTAAAATGCAGCTTTCATTCTTGCAGGTGCCCTCTGTGTTTCCCAGACACAGAAGAAGCGGAGCGGCAGGACTGAGAGTAGCCCCGCCGGCAGTGATGAGCGCCATCTACTTGATGGCTTGCGTTTGGATTTGGTGGCTTGCCCCATCCATGATGTCATGCACGAATTGACTGTCTGCAGATATTATTATTTAAAACCATTTTTTGAAGTTTTGTTCTCGCGTATGGTGCTTGCGATTAAATTAATTAACAGCTTCTCAGACTTTTGGAGGGATGCCTGCCCAGCCCCGTTTCTAGAGTTTTGTGGCTTGCCCTGCTCAAAGCTGCCGATTTTGATGCACAGCGCGGCTCTGCAGAAAAACATGTCACGAGGCAGTCCATAAACCTGCAGACTTTGAATTTGCGTCATTTCAAATCGCCTGCGCAGCGTCGGCAGATGAGATCTAATTTATGAAATGATCGTTCGCTTTTCCTGCTCCTCTGTTTCGCCATCGGAGTCTTCCTCCTTCTGCCAGCCCGATGCCATTTTGGCACTGCGCGCCAGCGAATTCGGATCTCGCAGCAGAGGCCAGTGGAGCCATCTCGCCCTAGAAGCTTATTATACGGACCCGTGTTTTAAATAATGGCGCAAGAAAGACGTTTTGGCACCCGCGGGCTTGACACAAGGAATGCCAGATAGACGCAGTATAGTCAGATAGACGATATTAAAAAAAAAATATATATATAAATGCTGATTATGTCAGAAACAGACTATGTCGAATGTCTGAGGATCACGCGAAGTAAATTTTATGTAGCTATTTTTCACAATGCATGCGCAAAGCATCTGTGAATTTCAAACATTATCATGTAACTCTTTCAGAAGACATCAGAGCAGTGGCAACCGCAGCCTACGCTGGTCCTTTGCCATTAGGTGGCTTGCCACAGGCTGACGTTGTCAACATGGACGAATTTGTCTTCCATGATGAAGCCCTTGCCCAGGGTGAACGATTTTATTTGAAGAAGCCGCAGAAAGGCAGTATCGTGTCAGTGAAGAAAGGCAATCGGGAGCGGAAGGCCTTGGCCACGAAGAAGAAAGTCGCAGCAACTCGCTGTGGATAAGGAGAGTTGAACCCAAGGATTTTTTGCAGCAAATCCCAAGACGCTACTCCAATCACGACTGGTTCTGATTGCAGTGGCTTGGACACATTGACGGCTTCGTTGATGATGGCTGGGCTGCGACTAGTGGCAAAGTTCTTGACCGAGAAGGATGCCAAAACTAGACAGATGCTTCAGTCTCAGTTCGAACATGGAGGCGCTTACTACACTGCTTGCGACGAATTTCCCAGAATTGATTCTGACGTCATGGTGAGAGACTATGGCTCCTTGGAGTCCGTGGACATTTACACCGCAAGGCCACCTTGTCAGCCGTACAGCGCGGCTGGTCTTCAGCGCGGTCTACAAGATGGGCGCGGGATCGTTTTACTTAGGGTTCTCCAAACAATAGAGACCACGAAGCCTTCCAGCTTCGCGCTGGAAAACGTGAAGCCTCTCGCAAGTCACAAAAAAAATCGGCCCATCTTCAAGTTTATCCTGGCCTTCTTGCGGGATGTGAAAGATGACCGCGGGAAGCCATTGTATGAGGTTCGATGGAAGGCCTTCGGTTTTTGTCACTTGCGATTCCCGTATATTTTTTTTCACTGCGATTTCTTGGGATTTAAATTTGAAACGAATGAGAATTGTTTTTGACGATGATGCATCCGGAGCAGTCCTCAGCAGGTTCTCCAGACGACCGTGGAAGGGGGCTTGCCTCAAAGACGTAGCAGGACTTACATTGTGGGATGGCAGAAAAAGCGTCAGGCACTGGAGTTTACCTGGCCAGGACGAATTCCGTGCAGAAGTTTGTCTAGTTTGCTTCAAAATGTGGATAGTTCGGATTTGAAAAACAACAGAGAGAACACAGAAGCTGGGAACGCAAGGGTTCAGAAGCATCTGGTGACAGCAGCAAAGCAGATTGAGACGTCCATTCTCAAATGCTCCCGCGCCAAGGCGGGAATATGCATGAATCTATTTAGGTTTGCCAGCTAATGATTTGCTAATAATACTATCTTCTTGTCATGCTCAGTTTGTCACTATCTTAACACGCATTTTTTTGTTGCCTTATGTGCTTGTCTGTTGTTGTTGTTGTTGTTGTTGCAACCCAAACCCATTGCAGTGGCAGGATGCCGTGTGGGTAGCTGACGTTGGTAGCGGCCCAACTCGCAAGTGCAAGGCTCTCCCAGAAGTATCGCCCACGTTGACTCGAAGCCGCTGCAAGTTGGGAGGCCACATGTTGCTACCAATGAAGCGATACATGACCTTGGTGGAACTAGAAGAGTTGCAAGGCTTCCCTGGAGGGCATCTTCGGGTTCCAGCTGGAGTGACAGCACAGCAGTACGCAGGAATGCTTGGCAACGCTTTCACAGCGTGATTGGACGTGTCGCCCTGGCACTGCTCAAAACCATTGGCAAGGTGGATGATGGAGTGACCGATCCATGGGCAGCGCTGTCTGCGCAACACGGATTTGATTTCAGCCGCTTTGAACAAAGGCTGCCATGCAGGAGGACTGGTACTAGTTAGTACGGAGTCTCTGACCGTCTGACGGCGGCAATCTGCTGATGATCTGCAGTGATGCTGATTAATTTTTACGCGTGGATTTTGTGGCTTGCCCAGTCCATCGCATTTGATTAATTACCGATTGGTGGCTTGTCCTTATTTTAATTAATTCATGCCATCAATTAATGTGAAGAGAGCCTTCCTCTCGTTTGTGCGCCTTCCTTGCCCAGCCATACTATAATACTCTTACTTGAGACGAGAACTTGTCAACATTCCATCAGATTTGATTTATTTACTTCGTCCTCATAGTTAATGAGAGCAGTGCTTCAGCGACAATTCCTATACTTGGACGGCCCAATGCCCGTTTCAAAAGTCTGCATGGGGCTAAGTGAAAAATTGCCGCGGCAGCTGGGCACATAAATGGCTCAGGCTACGTGACTGAAATTATTTGTGGACCCATGATTATGCTTCAGTCAGGTCACTGTGGATCAAGCGACAGGTATAGCGTTTCTCTGTTGCAACGCAGCGCTCGCTGCATCGCTGAAGCTAAGTTCATAGACGGCCGCGGCGAATATGGGCAAGCCTTCTGGCCTGCATCTGGAACAAGTGGCTGCTACATCCTGCCATGAGGACTGCCCATGGTGTTCTATGCATGTAACTTAGAGCGGCAAAACGGAAAAATGCAAATCACAAGGCCCTTCCGCTGAGAGGATCCCCGTTTTCGGGATGTCCCCTCATCAGTCAGGGGCGCCCACGACCGTTGAGATTCTGTTTTGTGGCCCGGCCAGCATGTATGAGAAGTCACTTTTGGAGGGGGGCGGAACAGGATCTCATCAGTCGGGGGCGCCCACGACCGTTGAGAGGGACCCCCTCTGAACCCCCCCCCTCTCATCAGGAACTTGGCGCGATTTGCCAAGTTTTTTCGCGATTTGCTCTTCAAATCTTTTGTTTTTCACGCGAAAACCCATGGTTTTTTGACTTTTTCATCGTTCCCAAAAACTTCGCGATTTGCACCAAGTTCTTCCTCAGCGCCCGGCAACTTCGCGATTTGCACCGAATTTTTTTTCCGCGATTTGTCTCTTTGTGCTCTGTCACGTTGCAGCCTCGCAGGATGACACCTGTCTTGACGTTCATGCGAAATGGCTGAAGCTTGGAAATAGATGGCTAGAGGAGTTCCCATGGCTTGACCGCAAAAGAGATGGCAGCGGTCGCGTGGTCCTGGCGTTTTGCAAAGCTTGCAAGCTTTACGGAGACTTCCATGCCGAATTTCGCACATGTAAATCCCTCCAGAAAAGCCACTTTGAGGAGCATTCGAAGACCAAAAGGCACCAAGCTGCAGTTAGCAATCCAGACATCCGATTGGGCATCGTGGCTCCCCCCGTGCCGGTTTTTGTAGAGGCTTTGCAGCTTGTCCGGCAAGGGAAAGCAGGCGGTCCCCAAGGCACAAAGACTTTGAAACGAGAGAAGCTCCTGAAGGCCAAGTTCTGCTTGGCGGAAGCTTTGCGGATCCAGTCCCGCTTGCGACTGCTGGATTGCAATTGTCTTACCTTACATTCAGATGCTTCAAAGGGAAGGTTGGTGCTGCGAGGCCAGGGCTGCGGGGCGGAGCTCAAACCTGTGCATGTCTTGCTCGGGTGCAAGAAACTGGAGGAATTCGACGCTCAGGGGATCGTAAAGTGTATCCTGTCCATGTTAGTAGAGTTTTGCACGCCGTTCCTGCGTGTCGATTGGTTCCAAGACGCCAAACATCAGGAGGCCATGGGTTCTGCGGCATGCCCAGTCCAGGAAGCCCCTGAGCTCACTGGTCAGCGCAATCCGACCTCTGTTCCTGGGTCTTGTCCCGACCTGGACAAACATTTGCTAAAGCATGTCCTACAGATGGTTGAAGTGTTCAACGCAGACGCTGCTGCAGACGAACAATTAGCAGGGCAACTCCTGGCGTCCGACGTCTCTGCGATCGTGGATGCTGCTACATTTGGGGCAAGACGCGGTGATGGGGTGATTGAGGCAACGGAAGTCGCCACTGCAAGCTTCAAGCAGGTGTTCCCAAACCTTAAGGTAATTAACAGGGACAAGCCGCACGGGGCCAGGAGAATTGTTTCGAGAACTTTTAAGTGCGATCCCGTGCTGAACAACTTGGTGGACAAGGTCTTCATGTCGTCAGATTCCATAGTTCAGCAGATCCACTTCAGCGATGTAGTGCGTCATGTGTATGCACAAAACGTGCGCGCCATGCAATTCACGCCTCTGTGGAAAGAAATGTCTGAGAAATTTTCCGCTGCCAAGCATCGCTTCGACACATGGAGCATGCCTTTCGCAAAAGTTTACCTGACTTTGGAGGCGGTCGTCAGAACCGCACAACTGCACGAGGAAAGGAAACATGAAAAAGTTGGCCACGCAGGTAGGACATTCCTTGGCTTGCTTTCTGAGGAAACCGTGGTGCTCATGGGTATGCTGGCGGACGCAGGGGGGGAAAATCTGCAACTGACCAGACGCCTGGATTCAGAAAGGGTCACGTCTGGAAGCTTAGCCCTATTGGTGCAGCAATTTGTGATGCGCTTAGAAGTATTGTTTGTCAATGGTGCTGTGAAAAAGACCGGCTACACGGCGCATGTCTTGAAAGTCTTGGAGACGCCAAAAAATCCAAAAACACTCTGCGTGGACAAGGTGGTGAAGCGTCTTGGTGGCTTGCCCCGGCAGCAGTTGGCTGTTATTGTATGCAACTGCTTGAAACGATTCAGTTCTTGGGTGAGATTGGCGCAGGAAGTCGTCGCAGCTTTAGTTCCCATACTTTGAAATCTTGCAGTCACTGTCAATTTTCCATGTGACTCCCATGAGCGAGCGGGATAGCCACCGTCAAAGCCACACCGCAGAGGAAAAGATGATTGCGGACAAGATTCAGAAACTGTCGCAGCTTTTAGAATTAGACGAAGATTCCTTTGCCGAGCAGTTTGCTGATTTTCACCCAATCGCGCAGCACAAGTTCGAATCAGCAGGTTTGGAGCCTCTCATGGCATGGAAAGCTGCTCTGAGCCTGGCCTTGAAAGATTCAAATCTACGGAACCATCATCCCCAAGGAGAGCTTAGAAAGGCATTGACTCGCGCTTTTGGATGGGGCTGTTCTACATCTGGCATAGAACAAGCTTTCTCTGGCATCCGGGCTCTTACCAACAGCAAAGGCAGCATGACTGAGATTGCCTTACGCGATGAAGTTTTTCTTCTTAGCGCCCAACATTTCAGTCAAGCTGAAGATGAGGAATTGGTCAGAGCAGCGGCTGTTCTTTGGGCAAAGTTCTTTGGTCCTGTAAAAACTACCGGAAGTGACTCCACCATGAGATCTGTTGCAGCTAGCCGGGCATGGCAAAAGAGACGCAAAGACGAGGTTGACAGGACCCTGCAGGCAACTTGCTCCTGACTGTCATTTCCTTGCTTTTCTTTTTGCTGCGACATTTTTAGGTGCTACTTCAAGTGCTTAAGACCAACTATCTATAAGATGTTACATCTTCTGAAATCGGACTAGGTTTTTCGAAAGCGGCGAGCTGCAGCGGTGGCAGCTGAAGTCAATGCCGCTGAGCCTTCGGCATTTCAATGCCCCAGTGATGAGCACTGGACCGAGAAGCATGAGGCAGAAGCCCAGTTGCAAAAGAAACGCCGCAGAGAACGTGCCCTTGACACAGCGGCGGGCAAAGGATTGACCGCCGAAGAATTGCAGCAAGAAATTGGACATGACCCTGGACAAGCAGTTGCTGCTCACAAGGCAGCACGCATCGAGAAAGTTACCCGCTATCAGGCAAAGAAAAGCTGAAAGAAGCAATGCAGAAAGAAAAAGCTTTGCAGTCGATTTCGGCAATCTGCCGAGGCAAAAAGATTTTCTTGCCTGCTGGCAAGCCTGCAACAGGAAATGATGCCCTGGACCGGCACATGACCAGCATGAGTGCCATGTTTGAGTCTTCTCCTCTGAAGGCCGAAATTTTTGTCATCAATGAAATTGTCCATCCGCCCGAGGAACTTCTTTGGAATGCTTTTCTGAGTGGCTCTTTTCTCTTGAGTGCGCAGGCATTCTGCAGTGGGAACGGACCGGCTGTGAAGTACATCAATACCATGAGCATTCGCAGGTCTGTCTTTTGCTCCAGTGGCTTCCAGTCGGACTTCCCGGGGCTGGTTGCTCTAGTTGTCGCTCGCATGGCAGACCCTGATAGCAAGTGGAAACTGCTGAGTGATTCGCATCAGTTCTTTGCAGTTTTGACAAGAGCAGAGGCGAAACAGCGGGCTGCGTCCGAGCTGCTGGCTTTTGTCACTGAGACGGAGATCGGTAGCATTTTGTCTGCTTTCCCTGAGCAGAAAACTGTCGTTGATCTCCGCTGCAAGCTTTTGACCCGAAGTTCAGCAGTGAGTTTTTTGGCCAAGGTTGAATTTAAAAAGAGTGGCATGTGTGGCAGCTGATGGTTTTCCTCAGCGAGCGCCTCTTAAATTCATGTTTGATTTTTTATATGAAATTAACAGCTGGCTGGGGTTAAAGTTAGTGGCTTGCCCTCCCTACAAGCCAGTCACCTTCAATTCGCGGAAAGTATGTCTTTGCGACTGAGGAAAAAAAAACGCAGAGCTGCACGATTGTCTGCGAAGCAGCAGGCCGAATCAAAGCCAGTGAGTCCACTCATCACAAGTCAGCTCTGCTTCGCACGGTTGAAACTTTGAAAGACGACTCTAGTTTTCAAAGCACTTTTGTCGTCGCTGCTGTTTTCAGAAATGCTTCAGCACAGGTTTTTTTCAAAAGACAAACCCCTATTTATTAGATACGCTTTGGATACCAAACCTGTTTTTTCTGTGTAAGGGATTGCTTTTAGGTAATTTTCGAAGCAACAAAGAAGCAAATCGCACAAAAAACTTTAAAAACAGGCGGTCTCCATTCTCCAGTTTCCTGCAGCTCCAACAAGTCCCTGAGGCCCTGGCAGTGTCCTTTTAAGGAGATTCAAGGCTGCCGTTTGCCAACCCTCAAAACTCCCCAAACCCTCCCCTGCAGCTCCCAGGCGCCACTCAGGCCGCGGCAGACCTTTCCTGCAGCTCCAACAAGTCCCTGAGGCCGTGGCAGTGTCCTTTTAAGGAGGTTCAAGGCTGCCGTTTGCCAGCCTTCAAAACTCCTCAAACCCTCCCCTGCAGCTCCCAGGCGCCACTTAGGCCGCGGCAGACCTTTCCTGCAGCTCCAACAAGTCCCTGAGGCCGTGCCAGTGTCCTTTTAAGGAGGTTCAAGGCTGCCGTTTGCCAGTCCGCAAAACTCTCCAAACCCTCCTCTGCAGCTCCCAGGCGCCACTTAGGCCGCGGCAGACCTTTCCTGCAGCTCCAACAAGTCCCTGAGGCCCTGGCAGTGTCCTTTTAAGGAGGCTCTTATTTCTTTTTTGTTTTCGTTGTCTTTTTCTCGGGAACGTGCCACTGCTTGTTGTGACATGGTTTTCCCGATGGCATGTCATGCTTGACAGCAATGCGGCCACATGACAGCGATGACCAAACAACAGTAGAGCAGACCGGGCAACTGTGCGCATGACGCCGTGTCTGCTTGCTGACTTCACCGTCCTTGACGTAAAATTGATTGTTGCACACAGATCGATGGTCGATTCGCCCTGTCTTCACGTTGCTGTTCACAAGTCCATTGCAAAATGGGCACTGGTAAACAAAACTTTTTTTTGCGACAACGCCGTCCCGTACCGAAAATTCGTACCCACAGACACCCCGATGGTTGATTTTCCCTGTCTTCACATTGCTGTTCACAAGGCCCTCGCAAAATGGACATGTGTAAACAACAGATTTCTCTGCCACAACACCGTCTTTCACTTGGAATCGCTTCCCGCAGGTTCGCCGATGATCTACTTCCCCTGTGCATATTCTGCTGATCACTGACTGCGCGCAAGCAGGACAGACATATTTGAAACTCTGTCCCCTCTGCGTTGCTTGTCGTTTCTTTGCCGGCAAAGTCTCCTCCTTGCTGGGCTTGCTGCCTTCCTGCCTTTTACCTGCTTGCAAGGCTCTCTGCTTTTCTTCGGCGTTTCCTGTCTCGTCTTTGCGTTGTTTTTCTTTTGGTTCTCCTTCTTGTGTTCTGGCCTCCTCTACTTCTCTTCTCCGTTTTTGTTCTGTGCTGGCATCCTCGGCATTCGCACTGGTCATTTCTGCCCTTTCGTCTTCTCTCCGTTGTTTTGCCTCCGGCTTTGTCTCGTGCGTTCGCGTGCCCTCCTCTTCTCTCTTCCGTTTTCTTTCCGCGATGGCAGCCCAGACATCGGCGATGGCGCGTGCCTTTGTTTCTTCCGCTGCCCTCCGCGCGACTTTCGCCTGCGTTGCCGCTACCCGCTGTACTGCTTTGCTGATGCTTCCCCGGGGAATGGGGCACTGCCAGCAGTTGCTACAGACTTGGTCACCATTACAAGAACGATGTTGCGCCAGCCAAGATTCAAAAGCGCACGCTGCTTGCTTTACCTTGCAGACGCTGCATCTCCACCAGCCCCATGCTTTACCCGAACAATCTAAACACACTCTACCGCCCCTGTGTGCTCGTTTCCAGGCCCCGACAGAAAATTTCTTTTCGTCCTTGCCCGTATTGCAAACACTACACACTTGTGTCTGTTCGCACGTCTTACACATACGATAAAATGTGGCTTGTGGCCTTGCATGTTCTGTCTTGAATGCATCTTCCTGTTTCCACGCCGTGCAGGCCATGCATTGCCACGGCTGCTGCGCCTCAACGTGCCTACGAATGCATTCCTTGCATACTCTCGCCGCATCTGCTCGTTTCCATCGACCAGCCGTGAATGCAGACGCCGGCTTTGCTTCATTACATTCTTTGCATTGTCTTTCGTCTCGGTATTTCGCTCGCAGCGCCCTCCAATCCATTTTTTCACCACCCCAGAACCGCAACAGCAATTCCCGCCCTACTTTTGCCCCTTTTTGAAATGGTCCTGCAGGGAACGGTCGGTACACAAACAAACCATACCTGTCTTGGACTCGCGTTAATGCAATGTAAGCTGTCAATGGGTCGCCTGCTTCCCCAATGCCACCACAGGTTGACCGTCCACATAGTCCCTTGAACAGCCAATGTCACATAGGACCCTTGACCGGCCACATAGGTCCATGCCCCTGGCTCTGGACGTATCATGTAACTGCATGCAGCAGTGCTAGAGACATTTTAACCCTGAACTTGCTGTGGTTGCTTGTGTCAAGGCGTTCGCCATGCTGTATAGGAAACCTTTGTTCCTTCAAGAGTGCGTTTATCTCTTTTTTTGGCTTGCAACCCTTTGTTTGCCATTAACTGACACTGCCTTGCTAGGCTCGCGAAGAGGAAAGAAAAAAACAAAGGGACCCCCAATATATTCTAAGGATATTTGTGTATAATATACCCCCTATATCAATCTGTGGTCCTATAAATATATAAATATCAACAAATAAATATATAAATATCAACAAATAAAAATATAAATATATAAATAAATGAATAAATATATATATGGGGGTCCCTTCCTACAAATATATGTGCGCATATATCGATATGTGTAAATATATATATATACATATGTATATATATAATATCATATATATAGAGAGAGAGAGATCATTATTTCACCCAGACACACAAAAACATGCATATACTTATTGAATACTTGGTTTTTACTGACAAGAGTAACTATACAATCTATATACATGACTACACCATTAAAAAAAAAACAGGGGTATCTTGATCCAAGCACCGGTCCTTGTCCCCGCCGCCAGGCCCTTATTAAGGGACAACATGTTTTAAACATCAACAAAATTTCAATTCTCCAAGGTTTCAATCCACCAGTTTATTATTTGTTAAGTTTAGTTCCAACCAGAAATGGGTTGATGCAACTTCCCACCACCACACTGTAAGCATTTTTTCCGAATCCCATGATCTGGACATAGCAGTGCCGAGCCCGCCAAACGGCGCCAGTGCACCTCAGGCCAGGCTGGCCAGTTTAAATGGGGCCAGTTGGGAAGTGATGGGGGCATGCTATGCATGCAGGGTATCACCAAAAAAAACCCTCAGTTTAGAAGCTCAAGCTAGAGATGTCAAGGCGCAATATTCTTTTGATTTTGAAACTTCCAAAACCAATCTCAACATCATATTTTTCAACAAAGGGATGAATTTATAGATGTGTGTTTTTGTTTTCACCAAAACATACACAAACCTGTAAATAATATATTGGCATCATTACGGCGCCATGCCGTCGCAATGCCGGCGTACCCAGCAGAAACTGGCAAGAAAGAGTCATGTTGGGATGATTGCCAAAAAACTTTCATCCAGATTGAGTGGAGGGCAGCACCTAGAGCGGATGACCACTACCAACAAATTGTTGCCAGTTGGTTCTTTGAAGAGAAAATGTGTGAGGAACTTGTTCACTGGTTGGGCATCCGCCCTTGTAGGCCAGGGTCGGGTGTTAACCAAAAAATTGGCTGAACAGGTTTGCCGTCGACTCCGAAAAAAATTTGATCTGGGTCCAGCCACTGATGATGGGCATGAAACAAGGGTCTTACATCACCTGTTGAAGCTGGCCCGAAAACGAAAACTTGGAGCTGCTGCCCGGCCCACAATGTCGTCGGTGGATCTTCTCGACACTATCCCCATGGAGATAAATGAGGACAGGCGTCATCATAGTTCTGTTTGTTGGGTGATTTTCAGCATTAATTTATCCAATGCATATGTTGATAAATGGAGAATCCAGCAATTTACTCAGGACACCTGTTTTAAAAATCGAATGATGATCAACCAAAGTTTACAAACTTGATGGTCAAAATGGTGACCCAACAGGGTTCAATAGGGTTCAAGTTTTTTAGACAAAACAACCCTTAGTTTTGTTGATTCAAACCTTGTGCTTATCAAAGGCCATTTTCCCCGTGCTGCCCTGGCACAACCAGGACCACATTGATCTTCTTTGCGCTGATAATCAAGTCCTTGATGAGCCGCAGGACACGGTGTTTTGTCTTAATCTTCAAAATGCAGTTTGCAATTGTTTAGAATTTGAAACATGATGAAGTGACCGTGGAAATTGGAAACTTAATCTTCAACTTTTTACAACCTTGGAGTTGTGCTAAGTCACTGAATGCTCAGGTGCCTACATGTGGAAATGCTGAGACAATTTCGGATGGCGAAGGAGTGCATGCCCCAGAAAGCTAACTAGAGAATGATCATGGCCATGGTCGATAGTTGAAATATCAATCTTCAACTGCAGGAATTGCTGTCTGCTAGATACAACAGCCCTAAAGTTTAATGTAGAAGGAACCAGGAAACAAATGGGGTCCTTATATATGGGTCAGTAGTGGTATCTCGTGACAGCACCGACCATGATTTGCAAATGGACAAATGCATAGATCCCATATAGATCATCCCACTCGCTGAGGTTCCAAGTGGTGATGATCTTTGTCTTGCTGATGCAGCTGTCGGCAAGGATGACGTATGGTATGAATGTTGCTGGACAAAAACAAGTGGTTTCATTTTTTCAAAATAAGTCAACATTGATTCTAGATGTTCAACAATATTTGAGAGTGTCCAACATGTTTGAACATCCATAAGTAAATTCTTGAGGTGATGATGCTTGGGAGCCTGATGAAGCTTCGATAAATTGGGCTTGGGATGCTATGGCTGGTCAGCCAACCTCTGCCTGGATGCCAGGCCAGGTTTCTTATGTTGCATAACTACCTGAACATCATTAAGTGTGCAGCCCTTGCCCAATGAAAAACAAAATATGTTTATTGTATTAGGGAGCGCTCAACTGCACTTACAAAACATGTTTCCCCTGATACAACCGTCTTCAGCCATCAGGAGACACTGAGCAGTCCAAGTGGCATTGGTCTGGGTCCGCTTCCTGGGATTCGGCTTTGGAGTCCCAAGGGTACGGCTGGGAGTGTGATTGGGAGGACGCACTCCAAGAGTCTGATGAACTCTTGGACCGCTTGCCATGATTCTTGATTTAAAGCTGGTTTTTGTTCATGAAACTGTTTTTGGACCCCAATTAATGTTAATCTGAGGGGAAATGCCCACGATCATGCAGTACAATATCCAATCGCAGCACATTGTCCCTATCTTTGTTCAAATTATGTTTGAAAACCGAGGGGATGGGTCTGAAGAAGATTGGGATGATGATGACGATTCGAGTGCCATGCAGAACAAGGCCTTCATGAAGTGGATTGTCGACAACTGTAACCTAGCTGAACCTAGAGAGGCTCTCATCCCTGTTACCGCTTGGTTCCTGCACATGCCCAGCCTGCCTAGGGGACCTGATTCGCAAGAACTACTTGCCTCCCACCCAGTCTGAGATGGAGATCTACAGTGCTTTCAATGACCGCATTCAGAATTTGTGGACGCTGTTTTGGGCTGAACAAGGAGCGACACCAACCAATTTTCAAGATGCTTTCTTTACCAGGAGTAGTAAGCAAATACATTCATATAGGAAAGATGACAGCCTTAAACCATGTATTTGATGGGTTCAATGTTGGGACTGCCGGCCGAGTTTCTGATAGATCAGTCAAAGGCCCCCACACGCGCAGGATCTTGCAGTGTCGATCCATACGATTCCCATGATGAGGAGGCCGGTCCTGAGTGAGTACGGAATCAGGTTTCAGCATCAAAGGGCATTGGTAGTGTAGCATTACAGCGGATCAAGTTGCTACCTTGAATATATATAATAAAATCATATACATATATATGTACACATATATAAATATAAATCACACATAGATAAATAAATAAATATATATATATATATCATACATTTTTTATGTATATTTCACATATTATATATATATATATATATTCATATGCACATAAATACATATATTTACACAACAAGAATGGATGCCCCATGACAAACCTTAAACTTGGAATACACCAGAATGAAGGATGGATGACCCATGACAATTTACACTTGGAATGCCCCAGAATGTATGTTTTATTGCTTGGACCCTTCATCCATCCAACGGCATGGCAGGTCATGCATGAGCTGCTGCGTGCGCAAACCGAGCGCTTGGACGACTACCATGAGGTCGGGTTTATATATTAGTGTATGGGTCTTTTGCAATGGTCTCACACTTTGTGGTGGCCAAAAATGAATGAGAAAAAACCCTTCATTTGACAGGAAATCAATGGAGTAGATCCCAAACGAAGGTGGGGTTCCGACGTTGCAGAGCCCAGCCACACCCAGGCCAGTGGTTTCAGTGTGCATCCTACATATATGTTTTTTCCCATGTATATATATATATATATTTGACATATACATATATTTGCATTGTTGCACTTTAGTTACTTCAGTATGTTTCTGCATTTTAAACATGCATATTTCCGTATTGTTGCACTTCAATGATGTACACATAAAGATCACAATATGTTTAGCCACAGCACCATGTATATCCATACATGGTTGTATACATATGCGTATCTAATTGTATCTATACATGTGTCACTGGCAGGAAACTGACCTTGATGAACCTTCGGATGGCGAAGTTCCCAAGCCAGCCAGTTCTAAGAAAGCCGAAGTTGTTACACCCTATGCCAAAATTCAGTTGGCTGCTGCAAAGCGTGCAGAAGCTGCTTCTAAGTCTAAGAAAGAGAAGAAGAAAGAAACTCAAAATCGTTTAGAATCAGTGTTATTCTTTTGTTTGTCATACTGGAAGGTATAAACCCACACTGCAATTGAATACCTTGGGGGATATCAATAGGGACCTGAAACTGCAGCCTCCCAGCCAAGGATTCTGTCAAGGGAGACACTCGCAAAGGCAAGACCAAGGTCAAATCTGCCCCCAAGGCCAAGGGGCGAGCCAAAAGTGCCGCAAAACCCAAGACCAAGGAGAGCAAGAAACAGCCGGCAGGACAGTCAAAGGATAACACGACCAAGACCAGGAGTGTTACGCCATACGGGGAAGCCAAGAAAGCGTTCACAGCCAAGTAGCTTTCCTAAATTCAAACTCAAATTGGATGTCTTTCCCTATTTATAGTTTAAAACTGACTGAATTTGACCACCACATTTGTGATCCACCCTTCAGGCCTGCATGCTTGCATCCCAGGTGCCGCGAAGATGATCCCAAGATTCGAGCAAAGCAGATTGAGATCCTGTGGAAGGAGAGCAAGGAGCGCAAGGAGATTGTGGCAGGACTTCCTGAGAGTGAACAGAAACGTAGGCGATACATCTAAATAGTTGGCTCTTTGTGTTCATGTCACTGTGGTTCAGAACCCTGGGTGCCTTGAAAAATATCTCTTGGATAGAACATGGAATGTTGTTGGCTACTGATTTCGCCACATGACATGCAAAACTTTAGATGCTCGGGCTTCCCATTTTGTGGGACACTTCAACTGAAACACGTTGAACAGCTTTACTTGCCATGGCTCAGAATGCCTGGCACATGCTGTGCGTTTCCGCACACCTCTGAAACATTTAATAGCTGTTTGCCCATTTGAGGTGCAGCTGGGGTTGCCATTCAATAATGTTGAAGGGGCATATATATGGCAGATCGAACACGACCAGCACGAAGAAAGAAATTCTGAACACTGGGGTCGGGGGCAAACACACATATTGAGCTCTACATGAACAATGGACCAATCTGTTGTGATTGTGTTGGGATGTTCCTGATTCATTTCCCTAGCTTTGTGAACGAACCCATTAAATGTATCTTCAGTCAAATTGAGGTATTCATGAACACTGATTATTTTAGTTGGGTTTTGACTGTTTCCTTGTTTGAATTACAAGTTGGGTTTATGAAATATATATCAACTGGATTTGAGCGCAGTCGGCTTGCCCATTGCCCGATCGACCCAGCTGTCCTGATCAAGTTCATACCATCCTCAGTTGCCAAAGCATTCACAGCTGCTGGGGCCATGAAATATTCTGTTCTCGCCTGCCTGATATCTGGCCTTCTTGTCAGCTACATATCTGAAATTATTTGGTGATTTTGCAAAACAGGTGGCTTATACATGTATGTACCATTATGTACCTATGATCGACTATGATTAGTTTGCTTTCATCAAAAGTGGGAAATAGTTTTTGAAACACAGATTTAAATTTGGATGTGGAATACAACAGAGAAGGTTTCAATCTTATTGGCGCACTCTTTAAATTAAAGGTTCCCCAAAGGAAACAAGCTTTTGAGCCTCAGGTTTTGGGGAGACTCCAGAAGGTCAACACCTTCACCTTCTGGAGCTTTGTGCAGGGTCGCGCCGCATCAGCGACTGTGCCATCGAACATGGGTTGAATGCATTGGCAATGGATGTGCTTTTTCTGCATATATGTGGATTGTTTGAAACAAGTATTTTTCTGCATTCAAAATAAATTTTCACAGAAGATCTTGTGCTTTTGGTGCTTAGACAATCCCCATGTCATGGAATCCAAGGTGTCTTACTCTCGGCATATGGATTTGCATTCTGGGATGGGTTTCCTCACCGCTTTCCAAGCTTTGAGAAGAGTTGTTAAGGGGGGCCTCATATGGCTTGGACTACCATGTTGCTCTTATATATGGCTGTCTCGTGGCACCACACGAAGATGCCGGTTACGCCCACGTGGCTGTAAAAAACTCAGAAAGGTGCGCATGGCCAACCGTTTGGTTAGGCGCGTGTGTTACATGTTGCCTGGTAGATTTCATGACCAAACCCGTTTTCCAAAGAAAGCCATGGGACGAAATAAAAGCAACAAAGTAATTCTTGATCTAAGCATATTTGAATGGGGAGTTCCAAAACAACAATAGGGTTGGTTAGTGGCTTGTGACCCCCCATTGGAAGCTTTATTTTTTTGAACCCCAATTCAAGGGAAAATTCCTTGACTGTTAGTTACTACTACGGGAGCATCTCAGGTTGGAATACGCAAAAGCCAAGAATGTGAGTTTCATAATTGAGCAACCCTCGTCATCGCTCTTGCCGTTGTATGGCCCACTACAGGAGCGAGTTGAATCAATATGTTTACAAAGCAGGTCTTATAATTATGTTGTTCAACTGTAATTAGGTATCTTCAGTCCATTAAAGAATGTAGGACTTGCTGCGACGCCACGGAGCCCTTTTTTACAACCTTCCCCTTGGGATGCTGGGTGGTAACACACAGAATCATAGCTGCATCCATAGCACCATTCATGCCGAGAATCTCAAAGACCACCTCCTTAAGCTTCCAGAATCCAGACATTGCCCAAGGAAGCCAACGCTTTTGATTTCGAATGCCCCTTGGTTGGAGAAGCTGCCAATCCCGAGGATGACAGTTGAAAGGAGGCCCCATATGTTCATTGCCAGTATGTTACAATGGGATTTATGAATCTAAACATTGCATCCCATGTTGCGCTAGGGAACAGCTCCATCGCCTACAAGAAATGAAATCTATTCAGATGGTCAAGAAGTACAAAGATGCTAAGGGACGATCGAGGGTGGCCTGGGGCTTACTATATTTGTTGGGGGAGCAGTGAACAGCAATCATGAAGCCTTTAAAATATAAACTGTTTTTCTATTTGTCCTTAATTTCGCTTTCAAGTTTGAGCTATGCTGTTGTTTAGAGGATCCAACTTCCAGGTGTCAATTGACTGAAATATGTTTCACTGGCTCTTAGGCAGGCGCCCGATCACTGACTTCCTCACAAGTCTACCCATGGCAGTTCTCACTGAAAGCCACTTCGCTAAGAGATGACCTGTTTCTGCCCCCCATGCTATATATCTACTTCAGTATCTTTCGGGGTACAAGTGTGTAATTCTAAAAAGGTTTGATCATAGAATGCCCAGTATATGTCTTATTATGTCTTATCCCCAAGCCATTCCGGAGTTCAAGCGAGATTCCAAAGAGCCACAGGTAACAGAGCTTCTGGCAGACCATTTGGCAGAGCAGCGTGAACCAGAGCGGGTCCTGAGCGATCACAATTTGACTTTCAAGGATGTAGACCCATTGTCATCAGACAGCGAACTGGGTGACCTTTGGGATAGAGAGGAAAGCAACGCGAACGATTAAACAATTCGTTCCAGGGATCCTTTACTTTGAAATACTGTGAACATCTCAAAAATATGGAGGTTCCAAATGGTTCCAATGTGGTGTATATTTGGGATCCGGCGCTGCTGCCAATTCGAATGGGACAAATTGGAACTTTACCACAGGATCGACCAATATGGATCGATGTGGTGCTTTGAGGGGAAATGTTGCATTGAGGTTCTGTGGTGGTTCTTTGGCTCCAAAATTTCTAGCCCAGAAAACATCAAACGGGTATATATCTAAAATAAACAATCCCATGGTGTCTTTCAGTAGGTACATATAAGGTGCACTTTGGGTCCCCAAAATGTTACTCTCAAGAATGGAACATGGCACCTCATTTTGAGACCTGCCTATATGGTGTCCGTTTTTTCCCCTTAAGTAGCCATTTTGGAAGCAAGAACGGACACCTCATTTTAGACATGTCCATATATATATATATAACTATAGCTATAGATATAGATATAAATATAAATATAAATAAATAGATAGATAGATCTTATTTAGAGATATTATAGATCCAAACCTTTTCCCGCTTTCAAAGGGGAGTCCCTTTCTGATTCATTCTCTTCTGCCAGGGATCATGTCGAGCAGTGAAAGCGAGGTAGCTGCACCTCCTGCAAAATCAGCAAGGCGGGAGAATTTGATGGGCTGCCAGGTGCTGGGGGGCTATATTCCCCAAGGGGATATATTAAAACCAACGGGGTTTATCCTGATTCAGCTTTCATTGAACTTAAGTGGGCTGAATGTGACGCGACTTGACACGACCTGACACGACCTGACATGGCCTGCAGCATGACACGATCTGACACGGTTTGACACGGCTTAGAAACTTATTGGAAGCATGGATATGACACGATCTGACACGGGTTGACACGGCCTAGAAACTTATTGGAAATATGGATATGACACGTTCTGACACGGGTTGACACGCTTTTCTCAGGTTACTTCGCATTCTTCTAGCTATACATCACCAAAATTTACCAAAAATCACAAAAAATGATAACAGTGACACCCCGTGTCAACCCGTGTCAAAGCGTGTCAGGGGAAACATAGAGCGCCCTCAGGCCGTGTCAAACCGTGTCAAGCCGTGTCACCAAAAATCTCACATGCCCTTCCTTCTTTTAGAGCTGTTTTGGCTCAGTTGGGACTGCTCGTGTAGCTGTTTTGTCCCATGGCAGTACTTTGGCAGTTAAAAACCAAGTTTACACACCAAAGATCAGTGAAAACTTCAACCAACCGGTGTTATATTAAGGTGCAATATACTTTGCAGTCAACCTGCCATCTGCATCTAAGGACCGAGGGAAAGGTAAAGCTATGCCGAAAGGTACCTTTGACAAATTAAACTGCTGTCTTGGTGCCACCCTATGCACATGGCTTGCACATATATCATATATATATTATGTTAAATATATATATACAGATATAGACATACCTCAATCATTCTGGGCCGTATTTAGCCCTTCATTCCTTCCAGTGTTGCTGATCATAAGGCAAAGGCAAAGCATTGCAAGCGCTTGTCTTGGCGAAAGCCAAGGGTAAAGGCAAGAAGGAGCAACTAGCTTTATGTGACCATGAAGCCGAACCAGCACTGCTGAAGCGAAGTCAGAAGAAGAAGAGCAAGGAAGCCTTAGAGAACCAAGAGTCTCCAGAATCTCCAGAATCTCCAGTAGACAAACCGACTAAGAAGAGCAAGGCAGCAGAAGAGGCTTTGAATTCTGCAGAGAAGCACAGCAAGAAGAGCAAGAAGGAAGCAGAAGAGGCTTCGAATTCTGCAGAGAAGCAGAGCAAGAAGAGCAAGAAGGCAGCAGAAGGAGAGGCTTCTGCCGAGAGCCAGACTAAGAAGAGCAAGAAGGCACCACAAGAAGAGGAGGATTCTGCAGAGCAACCTGAGAAACCGACCAAGAAGAGCAAAAAGGCAGAAGGAGAAGTGGCTTCTGAAGAGAAACGGGCTTTTAAGAGGATCAAGAAGGCAACAGAAGAAATCCCAGAACAAGAGACTGACCAGGCAGAGGCAAGCAGCAAGAAGAACAAGAAGCCAAAGGCAGTTGAAGAAGAAGAGGACACGACACAGACTGTCCACAAGAAGAAGAAGAAGAGTGACCAAGAAAGCCCATCAACTGAGAGCACAGCAGCAACAGATGAGGTTTCAAAGAAACCCAAGGCAAGGGAAGCAGGGTGATATATGCACATATCTTTTTCAATCAAGACATAGACATAAAGTTCATATGAATATCAAACATAAGATGTTAGTAACATATATAATAATAAAAAAAATCCACATATTCACTAAATATATTCACGTTCAATAACGATAAATATATAAATATATAACTATATTTATATACCATACCATACCTATCAAACATATCTTACAAAGGTACTGCACTCCCATCGGTGTCAACCCAAACTCTCTCCTGAACTGATTGCTCAGCTCTGCAGGATAAGAAGATGGTCGGCTCAGTGCCTCCGCCAGGGCAGTCTTTGGCCACCATTCGGCTGAGGAGCAAGACCAGTATGGAGAGTTTGGATGATGCTTATGTTACACCCCCAAGGAAGAACAGTCAGAATAAGTCCCCGTCAACCTCCACCACTGGAACAGAACCAAGTGCCAAGTCGTTTCTTGGATTAACTTTCACATGTCACAGTAAAAGAAAATTAAATGCAAACGCTTTTTTATAAACCCCTGGTTTTCAAAAAATGTTTCTTGGGACTGAGGCTGGCCAGGTCATTCTCCACTGTCAGTGTCACTCGGTTTGAACAAGGTGGTGTATTCCATCATTGAATGCATGATTTCTTGCTACTTCTGATATCTTCTGATGAGGCTGGGGAAGGATCTCCAGTCGAGGTACATGGGCGTATGTTCAATGCATTTTCTATTACCACCTTTGTTTTCCATTCCCTTGTCGACAGTATATAGGCCCAGGCACCTGGTGTGTTCTGTAGAGGCGACAAAGCTTGTCAGAACAGGAGAAGGTGGCCGTGTCCTTCGGGCACCTTGGATATGCAATCCCGACACCTTCCCAAGTCCATCAATCTTGTGTGCAACATCACAAATTTAGGGAATATATTGGGGATTCTATGCTACCTAAGGTGTCCCCGATGACTGAAGAAACGAAGGCGAAGATTCGTGAGATGTCACAGGCTGATGTTCCAATCGGGGAACGTCGAGCTTTATACAACCAGCTGGGCCGCAGGATGAAACATTCAGGGCTTAAGCCAGGCTTGGTCCAGAAATATACAGCATGCCTGGGCAACAGCAAAGAGCGCTTCCAGCTCTTAAAGGAATTTCTCATTGATGAGAACTTGTTGGATACTGAGGTGATTTCGACATGGATGTTTGGTTTCACACTGACACCAATGGAGGAAAGGTTATATATGGATGATTTATACTCATAATATTTTCGGAATCCAAGGTCTGAGGCCGTGGTGGAGGCTTACTTTGTCAAGTGAAGCCCTTATTTTTGATCTTACAATGCAGATATTTAGGCCCTGCAAAGTAACCCCGCAGTTTCCCGAAATGTTCAACTAGCTGCCCATGATCTAAGGGAATCCGAGAAGAAGGATGAAGACATATATGAGAAGTTGCCGCTCTTTGAGATTGAGGAGAAGTATGGAAAAACTGAAGCTGGGAAGAATCTTATCTGGGAATAATATCACCAATATCATGTTTGGAGAGAAATTTATGTTCTTGTATTCTTGTTTCAAACCTGTAGTCATTCAGCCAAGGGCATTTGTCGAACGAATCAAAGCCAGCCTGCTACCCAATTCATTTGAAAGCCCAATGAGTTTTCCCAAACTTTGGTGTCCAGCCGTATTTGTTTTGAGGCCAGACAGGGGAGAAACATGCACAAGACTCCAACTCAGACCTGAGAATAGCCGAAGCTGACCATTCATTTATCTGTTGATGTAATGTTCCAATATATGTCTGGTTCCCCCACTAAGTTTCCCGATGACGAGCGTTTCAAGATCTACAAGGTCTACAAGAAGCACAAGAGCACAAGTATCTTGAGCTATTGGTTGAAGTTTCAGTTTCCATACATTGACAATGTCAGCCCCAAAATTATAGTTCAACTGCCCTTTGCGATCCCCCCAAGGTGCTGATGTGACCAGAGCCGGTACCCGCGTTTCAGCTGGAGGCACAGTGTCTTCAGCTGCTTCTCGAAAGGCTCTGGGAGAAGCCTTGGATGGTCAGGTGGCTGATTTGCGTAAGGATGAGTCCAAAGCCAAAACCTCCAGTTCAAATGGGAACAGGGGTGCCAACCGCAATCAGAACAAACAGAAGGCAACAGGTCAGACAGAAGCAAAGCAACTGCAGAAAGACATCAAAGCGTTTCTCGTCTGTGTATAGCTGATAGCTCCTTTCGTTAAAGTTTCAGTTCCAAACATGTTGATATTGGTGATCAACCCTGCGATAATATCCAATATCCTTTCAACCTAAGGCTTCGGGACAAAGCGCAGAAAGCCTGTGAACTGGCACTGGATCTGACGACTTTGGGAATCCCACACCAAGAGGCCAATTTTACCTGATGTATTGATATCACATTTTTGAGGATTTCAGTATGCCCATGCAATCCTATATATATATATCACCATGTGTCAACAATTTGGGAGGCCATGGCGGAATGCTTGCAGACCCATCACAAGTTCTTTCGGGCCCTTGCTGAGAAGCGACTCTGATTCAAAAACAAACAATGGAAAACAACCAATGATAAACACTTCGTTTGTATATTCATTTTCTCACTGGCAATATGATCTTGGATTGCCACTTTTGGGGAACCCTGCTTCAGGATGGAAGACGCTTCCTTCAAGAAGGTTTCCGTTTCTGACATCATGGCCATGAAGAAAAAAAAGGACACGAAAATCAAGGCTATGTTGGGGTTGTTCATATGTTCGCTGTCCATTTCAAGCCTCCCATTCTTTGCCAATTTATTGCCCAGTGACAAAAATCCTCCAGCTATGACCGTTGCTGGCAGTCGGCGATCGAAGACATTGAAAACGCCTCGGGAACTGTGAAGAGCTGGAAGAACCGTTTCTTGGATCAAAAGCCGGGTGCTGGTGTGACATATTAGCGTTGTAAAGGACAAACTTGTTTCCATTTATTCCGATATACACACATCTAGAGACTGTATTTTAAAAACTCACACATATATGAAAATAAAGAAATTATACAATATATATATATTTACAAAAAATTAATGGCAGTTGATTTCCATTCCCGTCTCAAGTTTTTTGCAAGTTTTCCTATATCCCTGGATCCCCAAGGCGTCAAGAGCAAAGCAAGAAAGGCAAAAAAGGAGGCCGAAGCTGCAGCAGCCAAGGCTGCTGAAGCCTTAGAGGATGAGGAGGATGAGGAGGATGAGGAGGATGAGGAAGAGTGGCCGGGGGATGGGGACGATCCTGAAGAGGAGCCCTGTCAGGAGCAGCAGCCTTGGGAGGGTGAGCAGCCCTGGGAGGATGGTGAGGATGAGTGGGATGAAGATAAGTAGTCGTGATGGGTTCTTCCAGAGAACTGACGACTTAAAAAAGTCATGAACGGGCATGTGCATACGTGTTGTGACACGTTTAGGCCTGCCTATAGCTTGGGCATTTTCAATGTACATCGAAGCGTGTACCTAAGGGGTTTATCTTTAGGCACCTGTGAAAACATGGGTTGGCCTGATTGATGGGGCATGGGTTCACTGACAATCAAATTGGCAGATCGATGCTAGTGAAAAAAAGGATCACCCAGGCGTGCAGTCCTACAAGAGCCTAAGTCTTCTTGCATGACACCCCATGAATTAGGCTATCAAATGTGCCCTGGCAGGCGCGCTTTATCTGCCCAGAGAAAAGTCATTGACGATCTGGTCAACGACCTCTTCAAAAAGATGTCTGAGGGTCATGTGACCTGGCTCGTCAGAACCAGATGTGTATATATATATGTATACATAAATATATAAATGTATATGCAGACAAATGTATACGTAAGCAGATATGATTTTTTGTAGGTATGTATGATTATATATGTATATATGTAAATTTAAATGAAGAGAAATACAAATCGATAGAGCTGTTGTTTTTCCCAAATGGTCCTTAAGGTCGTGGAATCCCTTACCTTTTTGACCGTCCCCGCTTTGCCAGGCAAGTTGCAAAGCAATTGCTGAACTGACCTCGAAGATCTGCAAGTTGAATCACTCCTTGGTGCCGACGCTGAGCTTTATTGGGGTCACTTGTTGGTGGATTTGTTTCAAAAAATCAAAACTCACCAGAATAAGAAGATTCTTTTTTTTTAGACAATCTGAATCCCAACATCAGGAAACCTATCTTGACTCTCTACGAAAGATTCGAATGCGGTGGTGGATGGGGATTGGAGCGAACGTTTGACAGTTGGGTTTGCCAACAGCCCTGGCGAAAGCGTTTACCTTTGACATTCTTTGAGCTTCTTGTCCACTATGAGTAATCAGTTGTGGAATGTGGGCCAACTGTTTTTCATTTTGGGGGATTTCCTAATGTTTGGACCTTGTTTGAAAGTAAGGTTCGATGTTGAAGCGCTTTATCTGCAATTCATTAGTTTTTCATCTTTGATAGACCCTCTGAAAACAAAACCGTATTTGGATATATTTGGTGACTGGCCCATAGATCCTATCGGCTCTCCAAGGTACAACTGACGGAGCAGCAGCGCTTACTTGGAAGCAACCCGTTTTGCAAACAGAGTGTTATGGCGCCGCATGACATTGTGGCATGTTTGTACGAGTACCCTGAATTTTTTTTCCCGTTGTTCGTTGGGGAGCCTGGTCGTTTGGACCAGTACTGGATGGAAAATTGGGATCTTTACTCATCGCTCAAGATGCCTGATCTTGAAACATGGCAATTGATTAGATGATGAACTTTTTTGAATTCCTTTCCCCAAAGAACATGAATACATATAAGCATGTACTTGTACAGCGTTATGTTTTTTAATTCCCATTGGTTGAAGATTCTTCCCAATCGTCCTTAGGATATCTCCACAACTATTCCTCTTAGATTGTACGGAGACGGAGCTGACGCTCAACAGCACTTTGAGATCTACACCATATTGCCAATTTTGAGTTGCTCATCTTCAACCCTAGATAGCCGCCTACTCTGCGCAGTGCGCAATTGTGATAAAACAACAGTGGACTGTCGTCGCCGAGTGATGCAAGTACTTGCATGGAGCTTTGAAGCACTTCGATACTAGAGCCATATATTACCAAAGATTTTTCATTTGTTCCATAAACATTTTTCACCTGGGATCTCCATGAAATTCATCCCAAGATTCATCTGACCACGGCCGCAGCTGATCTGTCCAGGTGTGGGAAAGCATCCGCATCAAGATCCTTGGGCCAGGCCATTCTCAGCGGAATATTACCCAGACAGGTGGAGGCGAGCAGGTACCCCACTATCTGGCCCATACACCTATGTACTGGACGGTTTGCAAGGGGATGCTGATTTTGTGGCTGCCTTGTTTACCCTCAAACGACCCTTGCTCGAATAGTTCGATTTGGTCTGTGTTTTGTTTTGATTGTTTTGATGCCACCTGTTTTTTTTATTTACTTCCAACATTTTCCCCTGGCCTTTCTGAAGTCAGTAAGGATCCTACAGACATAAAGAATGTTGTTACTTGTGCAAAGCCCTGGCATCTGTTGATGATGAAGCTCATGCTGACCAATCCCCTTTGTTATACACGAACTGGGGCCGAGATGCGGAGTATAGATCCCAGCAATTTTGCAGCAAGTAGCCATCGCTTAGTCACCCATGGCAGGTTCTGGGAGCAACAACCCACAACTATGTGAGAGTTTCTGTTTTTTTTGATGTTGTGATGTATAGTGTGTGTGTGTATGGATGGATAGATGTATGGATGGATGTATGGATATCTGTACGGATATATCTATGGATATATGTTTGCATGGATGGATGGATGAATGGATGTATGTATGTATGCATATGTGTGTGTAAGATGTACGAATACAAATATTACCTATATATATATATATATATGGTCTTACATGTGCACACACACACATATATATATATATATTACATGTGTGTGTCCCTTATCGGCATCTGCTATGCGCCTCAGGCTGGTGACGACGGCTGAGTTCATTGAGGTGAACGGTGCTTCTCCGATCACACAAATTGCGGGGTTTTCTCCATGGAGAACCTTTCTATGAATTTATTTTTCCACAAAAAAAACGTAGTACCATTCAGGATTTTGTGGCAATATTTTGAAACCTGTTTATGTTTGGCATTCAAGGAATTTATCCAGATCTACTCCACATCTTGGACCTAGCCCTCTACACAGACATGATTGCATCTACTTTTCTCGAATGGAGTGAGCCTGGAATTTTTGAAGGCCGTTCGCGCGATGACAGGCTTCTGAAGCTGTTTGCTTGGTACCGCGAGTGGTGCCGCGAAAATAGAAGCTTATTTTTTGGGATTGTTGGCAACCAATTTTCTGTGAAATAGAAATCCAAACAGTATGGGGCCCCAAATAAATGATGTTGTTTTAGTTTTTGGACCTCTCCATCTCATGCATCCCAGGAATTCCAAACGGATGCCGGGCTAAAGCAGTACTTTTTCAAGTGCAATCCCTTCAAAGTAAAGCCACAAAATACCCTGCAGTTGGCCAGAAAAAATTGAATGGCGCTGCTAGTCGCATGATGATACCTTTCTGCTTGCTAGTAGCGACCGAGATCAATCATGACCACCCTTCAGATGCACACAGGCTTGGTATACCAAATTGTTTTTCAAATTTACCATAATCAATCCCAAATCTAATGTGGGGAATTTGGGTTGATATTTTATTCAACTTGAAACAAATTGGATTTTTGGGTTCACATGTGATTTGGAAAAATTCAGGGTGCGTTCTCGAATCAGATAGATCTCAACCATCATCTCCTAAACCTGGAGGTGGATCAAACAAGTTTTTGCGGCGTTCAATTTGATCGCAACTGTTTTTGCTGAGCATGGTCCTGGTCTACTTCCTCCAGAACAAAATTGGAAAATTGAACAGGCGTACCTACGATACCGAGACTGTTACAACAGTTGCTAGGACCAAAGCATTTTTTTTTGGAATGTTGTCAAACCCATTTTCTTTGCTATTTGTGACCTTAAAAAACATTCAGGCTTGGCACTGCGCGCACTGCATGCAGGGAAATTACGATATCCTGTCCGCCCAAAGATGCACAGTTTTGAACACACGATACTTGGGAAAAAAGTAGTTCATTTGTTTGTTAGATTTGTTCCACCCAATGTTCACTAGAAAACATTCTTGTGTTTTGACTACACGGAACATGCAATCGCCTAAGGATACTTGACTATGTGCCTAACAGAGGAAATGCACGTTTTTACCAGTGCATGCTTGATGAAGATCTCATTCGTCGTGTGGCCCTCCTGGTTTATCAACATTTTTCTGTTTTACATGGGGAACATATGAGAAATAGGAACCCTTGTTATCAACATTTTGGTGATATGTTTTTTCAACACCCTTGCATGTAGCCCCAGGTAAAAGCTATTTGCAGCGGACTTCACCCATTAGTTTTCAGCCAGAGAAGTTTGCAACACTACTGTGTTGCTGTTTGCTTACGGTGGAGCGGAATTGTCTGAGGAAAAACACTGGATGCTGAAGGGTTTCCAAGGGGTGTGCATGTTGGGGGATTAGCTATGTAAGGTTTTATTGATATGTTAAACTAGAACCTATATAGATAGAGATATCTATATATATATATATTTTTATATGCTTTTTTTTTCTCTAGGCGCAAACTTGGCTCGAGATGAGGCAAGTCTCAGTGACGCTATGTTGCAACCAGTCTTGTGCTGATTGTCGCATTTTTTAAAGGCATGACCTCTGTCTTGGTATATGATGCTACTGGCTTGGAGCATTGATGTCAGCAGTCACATCATTGATGCTATGCTGCAGGCACTGTTGCAGCATTTTTCAAAGGAAAACCTATGTCATACCAAGAATGCCACTGGCATGGTGCACTGATGTAGGATAGCAAGGGGGGTCCTATACGGCC